AAGGGCCCCCGGGGCCCCGGGCCCCTTTGACGTCTGGGTGTGTCCACAAGGGGGCGCCACAGCGGCCAGACAATTACAGAAAACAAAGAGGAACCATTTTGATCCCTTCAGCAGTTTTAAAAAACATCACATTGAAAAAGAAACAGCTCCATGTTACAGACGTGGCCCTCTTTGTCTCTCAGCTACTTGAGCTTCTCCTCCTCCTCATTGTTATTGTTGTTGTTGTTGTGGAGGTTCAGGTCAAAGCCCGACTGCTTCCTCAGGGCGCGCGGTGCTAGCGTCTTCTTCAGGAAGAGTTTCTGCAGGAAGCGGTTGCTGAGGCTGAAGGGGCAGTAGCTGTGGATCAAGTACATGAGGCCGACGCCGGGTCCCGCAAAGTAGCGCGCCTGGGGCCTCGGAGACAGCAGCGCCTGGACGATGGTCTCCGTTACGGGGCTCAGGTCCGGGTTGGCCTGACTGGCGTAGCGGTGGAACAGCTCCTTGGTCTCCGTCAGGTAGTCCTCGCCGTAGTCCTCCAGTAGCGCCGGGGGAAGACCCTGCAGCAGCTGCTTGTGCTGCCGCTCCCAGTGGGCGTGGTTACTGGAGTGACCTGCAGAGGAGAACCCAGCTCAGGGTTAACACGGTTACAGGGCTGTTTGAATATATATATATGTTTTATTAAGTTTAATTCAACTTCAAGAAACTCCCCAGAAACAGGATCCCAGCATGCTTTGTTAGACGGTAACAACTCATTCAAAGGGTTTGAAGAAATGATGAAGTGAAGTTTAAAATGTTGAATAGTTTGTTATACTTTGATATCAGGATTTTTTTAAAGGAGCATTGTTTGTTATCTTGAGAAAATAATGGAATGACGTGCATATTAACTACACAATATGATCTAATTCAGTGTCTCCAACATGCTGCAGTTTGTTGTTTTTGAGAAACGGATTCAATCGGAGATATCCTGACTGAACCTTATGTCCCATAATGCACCTGGGGTCAGCTGTCACGCCTCCTTAAAACGTGTCACTTCTGCAAGAAGCACCACTCATAGCTCCACTAACGAGCCTCCTCTATCCTCAAGATGCGCTTTTAAGGACTCGAGACATACTCAGAGTCTGAGATTGATTTCTGAGTCATAGGCAAGAGGAGACGAGGAGATGAGGAGGCGAGGAGAAGACGAGAAGAGGAGGCGACCTTGCTGACTGGTTAACAGACACTCCTCCAATTTTAACTGCATGTTAGACATCTGCATTCTGAGGTATTGAGAGTATGAAGCACTGAAAATGATTTTCCTGAGAAGCAGAAACATGTCGTAACGTATTTAGTGTAAACGCTGAGTCAGCAGTCTCAGCGTGAGCTTGAATCTTCCGGATTAAAGAGAGCAGCAGGATAAAGTGTGTATGTGTATAAAGTGTATGTCTCAACACAATGACCGGTTAAGTTAATGTCACGGGGCATGGTGGTGGACTCAACCGCAGACCAGAAGTTGAGTGAAATGGAATTTAATAAACACTTAACTTAGAACGTGAACACTACAAAAACACACAGGGAATCCAGGGACGAGACAAGAGGGCAAATCCAGCAGGACGAGGCAGGGCAGACAGTCTGGGAAACCAGACGAGCAAAAACGGGTGTGTAGGTATGAACACAAAAACAATGATCTGGCAGTGGGTGACTGGGAGGCAGGGGTTTAAATAGTGGCTAGAACAGGTGAGGAGAGTTGTGCTGATGAGGGAGTGTTTGATTAGTGATCAGGGGCAGGTGAAGGGAGTTAGACTGGTGCTGAGGGAGTGGCTGACAGGTAGAGGGCGGAGCTACAGAAAGAAACACACAAAGACAGAACACAGAAGGCAAAGCCTGATCGTGACAGTTAAGTTAAGTCTCTTTTGTGAATCCTGAAAGTCTCCTGATGACATTGTGTTTTTTTTAAACCCCCACTGAGAAAACAAACCGAGGAGACGAGCAACAGGCTTCTATCGGCCAACAGTCTCTAATCACATCCAACCTCAGAATCACGAGTCAGCAATTTGTAGTTTGTGAGAGAACAGATGGTCCATGTGGTCCTCGTTCTGCTCAGCAGGAGGTCTGTCATCATGCTCAAACCACAACACAGAACACGGCCTGGAGGACTCAACGGTGGCAGGAAGGAGACCAGTTAGGATCAATAACACTGTGATTGGCTGTTTGTGGTCTCTTGTTTACATTCTGAGGCCCAGCAGAGTCCAGATCAGCTGATCACAGCTCATCACAAGTCCTACGTTCACCCGAGGACACATCTTTAGTTTACATAGAGATCCGTGGAGAAGAGGAGGTGGTGTAGATGTGGTGGTATAGATGTGGTGGTGTAGAGGTGGTGGTGTAGATGTGATGGTGTATAGGTGGTGGTGTAGATGTGATGGTGTATAGGTGGTGGTGTAGATGTGGTGGTGTAGATGTGGTGGTGTAGATGTGGTGTAGAGGTGGTGGTGTGGAGGTGGTGGTGTAGAGGTGGTGGTGTAGAGGTGGTGTAGATGTGGTG